TTGTCCCCACCATCCTCACAATAATTGTACTAATACTTCATTCAATTACAATTATGGTAATGTTTAAGTCATGTAATATGTCTGCACGACAATTTGGGGATATTTTGAACTAGTTTTTAGGCATTTTTGATCCTATTAGTGTCTATTTGAGAAATGATTTAACAAAACTTCCAAATCAAACCGGATCCGATCTTAATTGAGCAATTCGGTTCGGTTCTTCTTAGGTTAAATATCTGAATGAGTACTAGAATCCAGAATCAACGAATTTGGTTTGATTTTCAATTTTAAACTAAAAATCGAAAAATTGAATAGAAATCGAATCTCTCTCCTTTTTTTTTAAAGATTTTTTATATTGAATAAGTCAAATTATTTTAATTATTTCCAAATAAATTTGTCAACTAACTAATTGAATAATTAATTATAATAATTAATTCTCTTTAAAATCGAATGGAATTCAACCATGTCCAATGATAGCTTGAGAGTCATTAAGGGTGTGTTTGTCTCCCATTATTGAGAGAAACATAGAATAATGAATAGTATTTTTTGAAGAACATGTGGCTGAAATGTAAAATAACTTTATTAGTTTGTGTGTAGAATATTTTATTGGGTGAATATGCGATAAAGAATTTTACTGTAGTAAACAATTTTTTTGGAATAATAGTAGATAAACAGTGGCTAAAATAGGGGGTGTTTGTTTTTTTATTATCAAATTCTACAGTAAATCAATTCTCATTTTCAACCACATATTTTTCAATAAAATAATATTTTTCATCACATCAATAATTTCTTTTTCAACCACACATTTCCCATCATATTACTATTTAAAAATTAATTTTTTCCCCAAAAATCTTTACCAAACAAGCTCTAGGTTGTTGGCCAATTTCATTTTTTCTGCAGTATTTGTGGGGTCACATTGGGTGAAGTTGAACCGACAACTCACATGGGTGATGGGGTAATTTTTTTTAATTTTTTTATTGAGTTGGATCCCGCATGTGAGTTGTCACTCTATACACCCAACATTTTCTGTGGATCCTGCACGAGAAAAACACCATCCATGGTTAACTTTTGGAGAGATGGTTGGAGGTCCAAAAAAGTCCCTTAAGCAATGCTACATGTACAGATTTTCTTTTTTACCTAATTTTTTATCTATGCTCACAATAGGATTTTGGGATCGCATTTATTACTTTTTTATTCACGCGAGCCTCGCGCACATATGAGAGATTGTAATATTTTCGATAAGGACAATTCGATACAAATATTTTTATTCTAAAATAAATGGTGGTAGGTAGGAAGACAATAATTAAAAGTTAAGAAATTGGAGAGTTGTTTCTGTAAATTGATTTGTCCCTCGTACGGGTTAATGTTCTTTTGATCAACTCTCCATTGTTGTCCAAAAAGACCAAAACCACATAGAAGGTCTATTTTTAAGATAAAGTTTACAACATGATAAATAACAAAAAAATATTTAAAGATCACTCATGGTCTGAATAACATTAAATGATTTGGAATAAATAATAAAGTAATTATATTACCACCTCGAACAAATCAACTCGAACATAGCCCCCGTTTGAGCCCCATTTTTTTTTCATTCCATTACATTAATTTTTTCTTTCTTCATATCAATTAGACATTCTCAAATAAAATAATATTACACATAAATTTAAAACTTTTTCACCACATATTTTCTCATCAATTACTATTTTATAAATTTTCAACCCAAAAAAATGGGGGCCAAATAGGGCCATAATTTCTCTAGTGCAACTATTGATAGTATGGAAAAAGATGAAGAAAAAGCTGGATTACTCTTCGTACTGTCTGAGATTTTTCTGAAAAAGGTCATACTTGATTAGATTCTCTTTTATTTTTGCCTTTTCCTATGTCTACTTTTTCCATTTCTCTCACTGAAAAAGTTTTACCCCTTCATTGTCGGCAACACCTATTTTACCCTAATCTTACCATTGACGTAATCCATTACTTTTTCTTCTTGAGTTGTATAAATTAAAATTCAGAGTGTGTTTGACAGAAATTAAAATTAAAAAATTAATAGTTATTATTGATTTTTATTAGACGAATAAAATTCAATAACTATTATATTTTCAATTTTAATTGAATTTTAAACTCTTCCAATCAAGCTCTCAATTTTGTTTAAAAATGAGGCAATTCCTTATCACTTTACTTTTTCCTTTCACCTTTTTCTCTTGTTATTATTTTCTTTAAGTAGTAAAATAATAAGTATAATTTACTTAGCTTCGTTTGGGCTCCATTTTAATTTA